ACGCATCGATCAGGATACTGGGAAAGGCTATGGGATGGAGGGATATAAGGGATGTAGAACCTTAGAACAAGACACGAGTGTAGTTTATTCAATCCCGCAGGGAACCCTATTTTTTAAAAAATGACCTGGGAAAGGGCCCCAGACTGGCTGACATGCTGAGCCCTGGAGGGTGGGGAGGACTTGCTTCTGAAGAAGTAGACATCTGTCAGAAAAGAATTCATTTATTCTTTTAAGACACCGGAGATACAACGTTTAGAAGGTCCTTCTTTTGCATCTCAAAACAAATACCCTCTTCTGGCCTGGGCCAGCCTGACCTCAGGCAGTACATGTGCCTGGAGTGATTTGGGCACTTTTTCTGGACACTGTGGCCATGCTCTGCAACTTTGTGATTAACCGATTATTGAGATACCCCTCTCGCACAATGTGTCTCAGAAGGCACCTCTCAGATGTCACCAATCACATCTCACAGTTGATTCAATGCTTTGGGCTTGAAATATTTTTTTTTTGGACATAATTGTGTTTAATGTGTTTTACACGACTATTCTGAAAGGTGACATCTGGAAAATACAAAGTTTTAAAAAATGATTTATAACGGACAAGCAACATTTCTCATCACATCAAATTTGTCAAGATGCTTGCAATATAAAAGCTTCAATGTTTCAGTGAGACACTGTGTAGTGGATTCAATAAAAAAGAAACTTGAAGACATTTTCCCCCCTGTATATATAAGCATCTGCTCTAACTTCTGCCTCCTAACGCTGTGGCGTGTTTTGTTTCAGCTTTAACCCTTTAAAAGGGGGGAAGAATGATCTGGGTAGGAATGTTCATTAGTTTAACAGCAGGAGTCAAGTTAATCTCCTTCGTTCCCCATGTTAGACTCACTTGACTCGGTATTTAAGATTTGTTAAAAAGGTCTCTTGGCGGCACCGATGTTGACTTAGAACTTGGGGTCTCTCAGGGGCATAAGCCAGTTAGAACTCAGACTGAGAATGAGTTTGCCACAGTTTTCTGAATCAAAGGCAGCTCTCTTCTGGAGTGACCTTGGGGAAGTTGATTTTTTCATCCTGCATGCAGATATAAACGGTAGAGGGCAGCTGCACTCGTTATAAATATCTTGTAAGGTAGGCAGAATGCTGCACTGTAATTCCTGCAGCCAGAGAGCCAGGACAGAGGGCTTAGGTGACCTTTCGAGGATATTCTGCTCACCCCAAGGAGCCCCGAGTGATTAAAACAGAGAGCTAGCACTTCTCACAGGAGGGATCAATTTACTCCGAATAGCCCAGAGCCCTTTATCACCTGTTATGGTACTCTTGCTCTGGACAAGGGAGGGGTGTAGACAGAGACCCAGTGAGGGGAGCTGAACAAGGAGCAGTAATCTGAGAAGGGGAACAAAAATAGAGCGGGACTAAAGGGAGGAAACAGCAGAGCAGGCTTTGGGGAGCCTGTGGCACTCATTGGCAGCCCTGTGCCTGGAGGCCTCACAGAGGGCGGCGCTATTTCAGTCTGTTCCCATTATAGAAGTGGAGCCCAGTGTTGCCCTGAGGAAGGGCGGAAACTGAACTGACAACCACTCTCCGTGTCATGTTCTTTCTCATGAATCCACAGTGACTCTCATACTTTATTTTGCCCTTTAGGACCCTCAGATGTTCAGCTCCACCTTTATCCTTCCTGCGTGAGCTCCCGACACCCCTCCGGTCACGTTCTCCGGCTCGGCTGACCTCCTTGCTGTCAGCCCCACACCAACACCTCCTTTTCCTTGTTGTTTGGTTGTACCTCCTCTTCTCCTTTGCACGTATCTAAAACGTCTCCAAAACGTCTCCATCGCCTAGGTCAAGATACAATTTCTTTCAAAATATTAACGTGCATTGCATAAAGCTTTATACCAAGCACTTAAACATGTACTATCACATCTGAGTCATGTCTCCATTCCCTTGCCGATCTTGGCCTACATCCATCTCTCCCATATTCTGTCTCCCAAAACCTTTGCTCACTGACCTGACTCGACCCCTAGGGCTGGAAGGCTGTAGGAATTTACATTTTCAACCAGCTCCCCAGGAGAAATGGAGGCGTGACCTAAGGAGGCAGAATTTTGACTATTGCTATTTACTTTATATATTTCCATAATGTTTATACATTTTTTACCATGACCATGTACTTGTATAATAAAAATTAGTGTGTGGAGATATATATAGCCCCCAATGATTCTGATGACATGACAACCGTAGGTCCATCTTAATCATCGAGCAATGATTCAGGCACATACCTTCTTTCATTTCTTAGCTCTCCAACAAGGTAGACAGGTGCTCGGGAGCAAGAACTAACCCTGTACTTTTTCTCTCTTTCCAGTGCTGGAAATGCCAGGCCCAAAGCAGGCATTTAATAAATACTTAATGGGTTTGATTAGATGCCCAATAAAATAAGAAAGCAATTTAATAAGGACATTTATGGCATGGTGCATTTGGAAAGAAAGAAAGAAAGAAAGAAAGAAAGAAAGAAAGAAAGAAAGAAAGAAAGAAAGAAAGAAAGAAAGAAAACTTTATTATTAGTGAGTTAAGGAACTGTGTTTTATTAAGACCCCAAAAATACTCCAGTGACTTAATAAGCCACAGGATGACCATGCATCAGTATCAGTGTTTTGCTTTAGGTCTGGAAGCAAAGGATCTCTGAAGGCATCACTAAACTTCTAGCATGTAGAAACCATGAGGTGGTTCACTCTTTTCCATCTGACTAATTCTTGAGGTGATGTGCTCAATTATAAATTCTACAGCTAAAGAAGACATTTGAGTCATTGGAGAGAGATAAGAAAAGGATCAAAACTCTCATACATTCCCCGTGGGAATGTAAAATGATGCAGCCACTTGGGGGAATAGCCTCACAGTTCTTCAAAAAGTTCAACATCGAGTTAGCGTATCATCCAGCAAGTCCACTCCTAGGACTGTACCCAAGAGAGCTGGGAACACGTGTCCACACAGGAACAGGAACACAAATGTCCACAGCAGCATTCTTCACACTAGCTAGGGAATAAGCACGGGAGCCGGCGAATAAACAAAATGTGGTGTCGCCAAACCGTGGAATGTTACTTGGCCATACAAAATGAAATACTGAGCATGCTACAACATACATGAACCTACCTTGAAAACATGCTAGTGAAAGCAGCCAGACATAAAAGGCCACATATTCCACAGTTTAATTGGTAAGAAATGTCCAGAACTGGCAAATCCATGGAAACAGAAAGCGGATTAGAGATTGCCAGGGGCTGAGAGAAAGGTGGATAGAAACTGACTGCTGGTGGATACAGAATTCTGGAATTAAATAGTGGGATGGTCGCACAATTTTGTGAAAATACTAAAAGATCTGAACTGCATACTTCAAAATTTTTTTAACATTTATTTTTAGAGAGGGAGGAATGGAGAGAGAGAGAAAGAGAGAGAAAACAAACAACCAAAACATTGATGTGAGAGAGGAACATCAAATGATTGCCCCCCCGAACATGCCCTGACTGGCGATCAAACCCACAACCTAGGTATGTGTCCTGACAGGAACTGGGACCCATGACCTTCTGGTACATGGGATGATGCTCCAGCCAAATGAACCACACCAACTAGGGCCTGAAATGTATACCTTAAAAAGTAAATTTTATGGTATGTAAATTATATTTCAATAGAGCTAATTTATTTCAATAAAGAAAAAAAATCCTTGGGGACATGGGGAGGAGGAAATCTAGGCAGCAGGACCCTCAGAGAATGTTAAAAAAAAGAGAGAGAGAAAACAGTCTTACTAAGGTCTGCCTTTTTAGGCATAATTGGCTTTTTAAACATTTTTACTTTTAAAAAACGATGGCTAGCTGAGGAGAAAATTAAAAGACTTGGACTATAAATACAGCCTGAGGGGTTTAGTTTAGATACAAGGTTTTCCTACCAGTAAACGTCAGGATACGAGGTTTTCCCATCTTTCTTTTGGGTGGAATGAAATAGTGCTCAGAATAGGTTTTATGGATACCAGCCCATTGGCAGGAGCCCTTCCTGAAATGGTAGAGGGACGAGTTAGATGGCCTTTCATGGTCTCGCTCTCCCTCTCTCCCCGACACCCGAACGCCCAGCCTGGGGAGTAACACGCTGCCTGCAGAGCGCAGGGCTCGGAGAAATAAAAGTGGAGACACTCTGTGTCTTGAAAGGTTTTATTTGGTTTCTATATTCAGTCATAAACACACGGTTCTCTTGAGACTATAAATGTCTCCTCCTCTAAACACTTAACATCTTTATTAAAAAATAGAAAAACAAAAACAAAAAACAACTGAAAGTTGCACTTGTAACCTATTCATTCAGTTGTTTGTGTAAAGAAAGTAAATTCAGGTTATGTATAGCTACCTCTACACATGTTACTAATATGCATACACAGAATGTACCTAGCCTGGCCAGTGGTTGTAAATCCTCCATAAGCCTGTGAATGAAGTTTTATTTAAGAAATAAAATATCACCCTCATTCCTATTTTTCCAGGACGGAAACCTGCTGACCGCCGATGGCCTCCACATGCTCCTTGCTTTAGGCACAAACAAGTACCTGCTTTTGGTCCACTCAGCACAATCATCCTCACTCTTTGCCTGGGACCCAGATTCCCGGGAAAATAAAACAATCTGAGGGACACGATTAAAGCAAGAAAGTCTCTCCTCGGCCCTGTCCCCAGGTTCAAGTCAGACCCTTTCTAGTCTTCATCCTCTGGTCGGAACAGACAGCGCTTCGTTTTGTGGCAAAGTTGACGTCAGCATCGGTGCTCTTGGTTTCACCATCACACACTGGACAATAGCCACTCATTGCGTAAACACAGACATTCAAACCTTTCTATTTTGGGTTAGTAATAAAAATCTCCATTTCCAATATTCTCGAATGTTTTAACCCACCGGCACATTGACTGAGTAGTGGGGTGGGTCTTAGGAGCAGCTGTTGCTAACACCTGATTTGTTGAGAACATTGACGAGAGAGAATTCTTGCCAAGATGGGAGGCACGTCAGCTCCTCAGGGGGGCTGTGCGCCCCCCGGCTAAGCAAGGGCATGGTCAAACTGCCCTTTCTCCAGGCCCTCCAGGCCGTCCGCCCAGGTCGAGGTTGGCATGCTCCGATATGGGTCCAGAAGAATCCGGAAGCACCTGACGATGAGGACGCCCAAGATGATAAACAGCAAAATCACAAAAACAAATGTGGTTTTCTGCTCCACAGACATGCTAGAATCTGACAGCGTGTTCCCAAAGGGCAGTAGGGGTGACGGGACGGGCTGTCCTCCGTCCATGGTCCAGGGTCGCCAGAGCACAGGATCGGCCAGTTTGCTCTCCTTCCATCATCGGTCTGCGGGGGTCATGGTGTTTGCACCTTGGAGAGGCCGACTTCTCTGCAGGAAAGAAAGAGAGAGAGAGAAAGAGAAAAAAGAAAGAAAGAAAATAACTAACAAAAAGCAACTTTATTTCTAGGTTCACAGTCCTGTTATTCAGAAAGAAGAAGGAATCTCTAAACTTTTCACTGGAGATGCCTAATTCTGTATAATGATGGGGAAGAATATTTTACTCTCATATGAAATGACCAGATTATCCTCAGAGCCGTCACTGGGGGCCAGGAGGGACGGGCAGGGAAGGTAACCAGAGTTCAGAAACTGAGAAATGTGCGAGGTAATGTTGACCTCAAGGTGTTCCTGCTAACTTGACATCCAAACCCAGCCTCACGCCAAGTCTCACGTAGATTCCCTCCGACAGTACAACTCTTACATCATTCCTAGAATGATACCATTGATTGCACACCAACCATGAGCCAGGACTGTGGCTGAACACAAGATGCGTTAGCCGCGCTGCTACAGGCTCCGTGAAAGCAGAGACCTCCATAGCTCCAGTGCGAAGAACCTGAGGATGGAAAAGGGGCTTAAAGTAGAAACTCGGGGAGCATCGGGTTCTGGACTCCAGCCTCTGGCCTCTGTTTTACTGCTGAATGAGTGGAGGACCTTGGAGAGGTCACTACACTGTAAAAATGGAAGGAGAAATGCCTGTATATCTCCTGTTGTTATAATGAGGATGAATGTCTGGGAAAAGCCTTTGAAAAGTACACAAAGAAGAAAAACAAAGGGTTGCTTCACTTGAGACATGACTAAGAGAACCGCGAAGCTTCTTCGCTTTCTCTTGCCTGAGCCAAGAGAGAAAAGAGGTGGTTCAGACTTCAGTCATCGAGCTCGTGCTGTTTTTTCCTTTTTTCTGCAGAAAACAAGGAACAGATTTAGTACCTGACCCTGGGAAGCACCCAGAGAACTGAGCTAGGAAAAAGGAATTGATTGACTGCACTTTTGTTAAAGCCTCACAGTGGCTTCCTACTGTGTAAGACCATTTGGTGGAGAGAAAGAGAATGAAATTTTACTGGTGGGAAAAAATGAAGGCATGTGGACATTACTGTTTGTCTTCAAAAACAAATTGAAGTTTAGCCCTGGCCGGTTTGGCTCAGCAGTTAGAGTGTCGGCCTGTGGACCAGAGAGTCCCGAGTTCAGTTCCCGCTAAGGGCATTTTGTCCCTGGCCCCAGTTGAGGTTGTGTGGGTGGCAACCACTCGATGTGTCAGTCTCACATTGATGATTCTCTGTCTCTCTGCCCCCCTCTCTCCCTCCCACTCTATCTGAAGATAAATGAAAAAAATGTCCTCGGGTGAGGATGAAAAAACAAAACAAAAACAAATTGAAGCTTACACAAAGAATATTAAAATCTTCATGTATTGCCCTGGCCCTGGTGGCTCAGCGGTTAGAGTGTCATCCCCCTGGACCAAAGGGTCATAGGTTCAATTCCTCATCAAAGGCATGTACCTGGGTTGCAGGTTTGATCCCCGGCCCCGGTCTGGGTGCATGCTGGAGGCTGCCGGCAAATAATCGATGTGTCTCTCTCCTTCCCTCCCACTCTCTCCAAAAGTCAATGGAAAAAATATCCTCAGGTGAAGATTAACAAAATAATTTTTTAAAGCTTCAGATATTAAACTAAATCTATTTAAATGCAATTTTGTAAAGAAGAGCATCTATATTGCACATTACTATATAGAAAAATCATATGACGTTTATTTATGAATCTGTCTTTTGGAAAAATTACATAGCAGAGTAAGTCAGGTATGAAAATGAACATGGATTCAAAATAATTGTGCTCAGTGAAAATAAGCAACCAAAAAACAAAAATAGAAATTATAACCGAAAGCATGAACACAGTATTTCTTCAGCTGACTTACAATCATTGCATTGACGTACAGCAGTAGTAATCGTAACAGTTTGCATGTATGTTGACACTTCAAAGTTAATACAGTCACAGTTTTAAAAAACAGTTTATAAAGGGAATGATGAGCGGTATCTGGGAGGAAGGAGTTATCAGTTTGAGGGGAAAGAACATTTTGCAGTCCCATAACTGAATTTCTTTTTAAAGGCCAAAATAGTTGCAATGGATTCATTTATGATTGATTTTTATTTTGACGTAAGACTGGGATAAAATTTGACTGTATAAAAAAAGTGTCCTTACACTATACGGGATGTCCTTGGGTTGGGTTTGGTCTTGGTCTGCTTGGGTGTTATTCTCCGTAGGTAAGTGAGGCTGAGGGGAGGGTGCAGGACATGTGGCCAGAGCTCCCAAAGCATCTCTCCTTACTGCTTCCGGCTGGGGCCACCTGTACCCACTCAAAATGCCCACCCTGAACTTAATCATACCAAATATAAAATTCTCCAAGGGCTGGGTCAAAAGAAAGCCATGTAGTGACAGCAGAATAGCTGTCCCTGACATATTCCCTCTTGTCTTTTCATGTCCTACTGAGGATCCCCACACATCCATCCCTGCCCTCCCACCGGCTCACCAGGCCTCCCCAGCCCCCATGAGGGCAGAGTCCTTTTCTCAGTCCATTCTCAACACAGTGGAGGCAGGTTTGCATTTTCAGAACGTCCCTTATGAAAACATTACATAAACCAAAAAGAAAATATAGAAAAAGTAAGGATCATTAACTGTGTAAATGTACAACATAAAGATGTCCAGATCTGTGGTATTCAGTGAAGACAGTCAAGAACTGGGTACAGACCTTTCGAGCCTGTGATAGCTACTCCCTCCCCAGGGCTGGCTGACCAGCAGAGCAATATCTCACTCAGTCCCTCCCTTCCCACTCCTGGTCTCCATTTGGTAAGAGCCTTGCTGACACCCAGGAGCAGTCTTCCCCAGCCATGTCCTTCGTACAAGACAGGTGCCAAATCCTTTTCTCCTCGCTCAACATCTTCTTCCTAGGCTTTTCCCGTAACTCGGGTTTTAGAGCTGGCGCACCATTCATTTGGGGGTTTTTGTGATGGGCAACCATCCTAAGAAGCCCCAGCAAAGAAACTAGTCATCTGATTCAGATCAGAATGATTTAGAAATCAGTTTTCCTCTGCAGCACTGTTACCACCCTGTTCTGGTTGAAAGGCCGATGCAAGGATACGGTCAAGTCTCTTTGCAGCCTCATTACGTGTTCTGAAAACTACAGCTTGTGATGCATGGGAAGCCTCTTCCCTCCCAGGATACTGTGGTGCCCAAATTCCTATTAAAATGACTTTGTTTGGTCAAATCATTAAAGGATATTAAATTGTAATAGTTTACCAAGAAAAGTGACACATTAACACAGTAGGGATTTGTCTGTGACGACTGTCCCTACTTGCAGGAGGGGGAGATGTGGTTGATAGGAAGGGGGTTGAAGGAAGATCTTGTTGGGAGTGAGGAGCTGAGGGAGAGAACTGGGTGGGGCAGACGTGGGGTGCTGCAGGCAGATGGCCCAGCAGGAGAGTCCTGGGGAGGGATGGGGGATGAGAAACCAGGAGATGGTTATAAAGGGATTTGGGGACACAGAGATCCAGAAAGCAATGCCAACTATTTCACAGTTTTGCCTATGTCTGATTGAAATCTTTGGAAGAGTCTACTTAAAAGAAAGAAAGAAAGAGAATTACCCACAATCAGCTAATCAATAATTTACCAACTTGGAAAGTTTGACTGCACGTCCATGTTAAAGGAAACATCAGATACAATAAGATGCAGAAAAAGAACTAAGTGTAACCACAGCATAAAAAAATATTCAAAAACATGTCCATTTTGAAAATGTCTGTCTGAGAGTAAAATGTCCCCTTTTGGTATAAATGATTCTTAGGAAATGTTCAGCATCGATTTTAGCAGAATAATGAAGTCTTTCTTTTCGATGAATAGTGAAATCTGGCATGTAAATTACTGTGGAGGATTTTGACGCAACCATCATGAGTGTTAATAATAACAAAAGGCCGTGATTTTCAGGGTAAGAGGGATCCCAGTCCTCACAGCAGCGTTTGAATCCTGACTGGCTCCCCCCATCACGTGGGACGTCCGTGTGTCCCCTTAGCTAGGTCCATCTGTGTGCGCTCAGGAAATAGTCTAACTTTAATACTGGACCGAGGAGCCTGTAATTAAAAGATGCCATTTTAAAATATCCTATAAGACATCTCTTTTCTCAAGTCAGGCTGCCTGGACTCTGACCTCAGAAGAGTGACACACTCTGAGTTACCGCAAGGCCCCGAGGGCTTCTCTCTCACTGGTAGCCACTGGCCTAAGGGAGTGTGCAGAGGGGCTGACTCCTTCCCCGAACTTCCCACACACCCCATCGAGACTCCTCTCCCCAGCTCCGATCTTACCACTGCTCCCCTCGGAAAACCTCTGTCCTCCAGCGGGACCCTAACCCGCCCGTGAACCCCCCATGTGCCTGCTACCCCTCTTTCCGGACCACAATTAGGTCACATTCTGACAATGGAATTGTTCTCAGATATTAATTTATTTTCACAATAAGTTTAGAAAGGGACGAACATCAGATCACATTAGGCTTTGAGTGCAATGACCAATGTAGCGATAAGAACAAACTGACAGGTGACTGAGTGTGCAGACACCTGGGGAGAAATCCTCGCTGGGTCGGCTCTGCAGCTTCTCCCAGCACCTGCCATTCTTCGATCACCTCCAGTTTCCCACCTGTGAGCTGTGAGTCAGGACGTTGCCCTTCTCGCCCTATTCCTGCCTGTGGGTCCACACCAAATCCCAGCTCCTTAGTGGGGCCTACCTCGGCCCCGCCGCCAAAGGGAACGGGTGCCCTGCTCTGTCCCCAGGAGCCCTTCCCCTGCACCTACTACAGGACACGTCTCCACGGGGTTCGTCGCCTTCCCCTATCAGACAACAGGCTCCTTGAGGAATCCCTTGCTGTTCTGGGGTCATTGCCTCTTTCAATAGAGGTTGACTCAAACCTCCAGCCCCCTACGGTCCAGGAACTGGATTCAAACCTCAGGGCCCAGCAGACGGGAGTAAAGAAAAAAAGCAAGTCTTCCAGCTGGACGCGATGTCAGTCCACTGTGTTCGAAACAGATCTTGTTTCCAAGAGCCACAGATAGTCTGCGTCCCAGGGACACTTGAACAGTCACAGATCTCATGATCTGAAAAGCACTCATTCGGCCCTTTAAGTTTTCCTTGGCCTCAGTGTAGGTCGGTGGGGTGCGAAACACAAAAAGCAACTGGAGGCCAGCGGTTTCCCCTGTTCAAGGAGTCCACCCTTTCTTACCTGATCTGCTTTTGTGGTCGGGAAGGGCAGCCCTTTAAAACCTCCTGAATCCAAATGTCTGATGTGGAAACTATAAATGTCAACATGTACCCTTCTCAAGCTTGGATCTTTCCTCTGGACATTTCATTTCATTAGCATCTCATTATACAGTCTCACAGTAAGGAAACATTTTATCTGAAGAAGATATATCTTAAAGCAATGACGTTTCTTTTCTTGTTTTCAAAGTGGCTGCCGTAGAGTCATTAAGTGCATTTGGAAGCACACACTGGCATTTCATGCCACTGGCCCCCTTTGGGGGGCATCGGCTCCAGTGCCCACCCTCCTGCAGGCGGCTGCCATAATAGTGGTGGCAGGTGCAGTCCTGCCTGGCACATAGTGGTCAACTCATAGGTGATGACAAACGAGTGTATTCTCTTTGTACCATTTTTGCGCAAAATAAGATGTATTTATGATTTCTGTTATGCAAATAAGCACACAAAGCAATAGAGATGATAAGTAAATTGCCTCAAATAAAAAGAAAAAATCAGTTAGCCAGAGAGCAGCATCCCCCGAAAGATGCTGGACTGCGGGTTTCTCTCTGGCACGTTGGGGTGAATAGAAAGTCGTCATCTCTGGGCTGCTAATGGCATGCGGGGTGCAGTTAAGCAACACTGTCTGTGTTTTAAGTACTCTCGAACCACATAATTGCTATACCTAGTTTTTAAAACTCCTAGGTCAGAAACCTAGTTATGTGACTTGACATGTTTTCAAAAGTAGGTATAAAAACAGTTTGTCTGTTGAGCAAGAACACTCACAGGCTTGTCCAGTGTACTTTCCCATGTGACAGACAGGACGCTCTGTCCTGCAAAGACACCCTGTGCACCTTATATTTATCCCGCAGACCAGTGGTCCCACTCTGTGGACTGCAACAGGAAGGGAAGTGAGTAGGTGAGCAGGGCTGAATTTGCCACCACTGGTAGAGACAGACTTACTCAAAGTGCAGCCTTCTTCTGCCACAGTTCTGACGCTGACTGTTGAAATGTTAACGTGGTTTTCAATGATTAAAACAATACATATCCTGAGACTGAGTCTCAGTAGAATTATTCTCTACTTTTGGAGTTAAAGGAGCCTCTGCTGCATTGCTGTTTGCATAACTGGAGTCTCTGGAGGTCTACCCCCTCTCCAGACCCCCAGACGTGTGAACATCCTACTGTACATCTTCCCCCACAGTTGAAAGCCCTCCACAGAAGCCCCCTCACCATCTAAGCAATAAGATCACTATATACGCAAATAAATCTTGTAGACCTATGAATCTTGTAGAAATTCTGTGCCTGTGGCTCGGGAACAGTAACTTGCATTCCAGGATACACACAAAGATGCAGACTGTTTCCTATCAATTCGAACAATTTGTGGCCCTCTCGGTGACCAGCCAAGAACTTCAGGTAAAGCTCTTCTGGCTCTTTGCAAGGACTTCATACGCTTTAACCACCAGCCCCTCTTTTTTGACTCACATAAATACATGGCAACTTCTATATTCTTCTTTTCCAAATACAGCTCCCCTGTTCCAAAACAATAGCCCCATTCTTCAGAATTCACAGGACAGCTAAGAGTAAATATTGTTTTATACACTCAGATAATAGACCCGAGGCTACTAGGAAGCCCATAAACAATGATTTTAAAGACACGTGAGTGTGGTCAGCTACAAATGTCAACAGGCAGTTTCGGAACTGTTGCCAGCCCCCACGGCTGCACCGGGAGGACTGGTCCCTCTGGCCGTCTGTCTCTGCAAAGTCAGCCTGCAGACCTGTCGCCTTGGGTCTGGGAGTGGACCCTGCCTTTCCCGGGCTAGTCAGCTCTGAGTCAGCAGGAAACGTTTCTCTTCAGCCTCAGTCATAACCTCAGCTTTACTTCTTCCTCGTCTTCATCTTCTTCCTAACATCTGCTTGGAGAGTTTTAAACGGACTGAAGGGCAAGGCGGCAGCCTAGCTGAGAACATTGGAAAAATACCACCTAGTCTCTGTCAGTAACAGGGGGCACAGAATGGGTCCATTAGCAAACTGGAACTTCTAACTTCAAACAATAAACATTACTATTCTACCCAGCTGTCTTTCCTTAGGTTTCCTAGTGAAAAAGAGTGCTTGCTGATACCTCAACAGGCTAAGGGTGCACACTGCTTGTCACCCGGGGACACCAGGGACAGCCAGCGCTGTCATTACGAGTTGCTGAGTTGCGATCCTTTGTAAACAAAGTAATTGGAAGATTTTGGAAGATTGGATATTTGAGGTAAAAGGGGAAAAAAATACTGTCATGGCCAAATAGCTTTCGAGAATAATTTACTGCAGCTTAGCTAAGAAAGAAGCCTGTTTTACTACTCCTTTGCCCAGTGTCAGTAGCAGAACAAACTTAAGCATGCTTTAAAAATAAAGGCATCATTATTACATCCCAACCCCCCGCCCTCCCCATAGTAACTTCACCTAGCAACTGTTTCATTAGACGTTAACTGACAGCCAGCTCTGAATTCAGAACTTGGATCCAAAAGGCATCTATGCAATTATTGCTCATGCATAAATTGTAAAGTTAGAGAAAAGCATTTAACTAGCCCTGTCACAGACACAGTTTTGGTCAAGTACCTGGATCTGGCTGCACAAACACTTGATCCATTTCCTGGTGGAACAGTTACAGGTAGTTACGAGCTTCTTCAGTTTCCATTCTTCCCGACCGGGCTGTGTCAAAGCAGTAGGCAGTGGTGCTGCAAGCAGCTGATGGCACAGCCCAGATCTAAAGCTGTTGTTTCAGGCTTAGAAACTTCCCCTTAAAACCCTCGAGTTAAAGGGGCATCGTCTTTCTGTGTGAGGCATCATTAGCGGCCAAAACGGCTGCTGCTCTGAGGCGAGCCATGATTTCAGTTCTGCCTCAGCAACTCTTCAGAGGATTCTGCTTCAGTGAGTAGAGGCAGTATCCTAGCAGTGCGTCTGAAATCATCCCCAAGAAAGCATTAACATTCAAAGGGAGTATGGGGGCGGGGCGGGGGAGCATCACAGGGCATTCCCATACCTTTGCAACTCAAAGCTATAAATCTACCAGGGTTCTGCTCTTCCCGATTGATTGTGGACACTGCCCCTCTTTGGGGATGTCAATTAGCACCTTGCAGCCACCAGCCTCCATATTGATTATGGGTTATGACCTTCAGGCCAACTTAATTAATGGGAAGACTTTTAGGGAAGGGCATCAACTTAGCGTTTGGGAGATGGAAAAAAGACTCCTTTTCCTAAAGAAAATAAAGCTGACCTTTGAGAAGAGCAGCAAGGATGGGGAGCAAAGAGAACAAAAACAATTTAAAAAGAACAAAAGCATATGTTCACCACCTGTTTGTAAATGTGCTGGGCTGTAGGTTGCCTGTCCTGTGTCCACTTGGGCCAACCTGCATAACTGTGACCTTGGCAGGTTCCCCACCCCACACGGGTCATCTGAGACCACTTGATTAAATAAGGATAGACCTTTGTTGAGAGAAAGTTGTTCTAATTCTGCAAAGAGTAGTTACACCGCTCAATACTTAAACTGTTTTCCTTGGATAGAGTAGTTAAGTAAATTTACAAAATGTTTTAGGATAAAATTTCTTTCTTCTTTTTTTTTTTACAAAAGGTGGTTCTCTGGAAAGGATTCAGCATAATCCTTAAGATGGAACATCCTTGTTTTCTGGGCAACTCATCGCTTTCTTTGTTGAGGCGGACGGTAGTTAGTGACAACACCCACCCGCCAAATGATGGGGGACATGGTATTTAAAGCTAACTCTGACTGTGCCTGTCAGCTCTGCTGTCTCTTCAGCTCTTGTGAGACAGAGGCCGTTACCCAGTAGCTTTAGGGGACTGGGACACAGCTGGTCTTCCAGGAGGAAAAGCTCTCTGTGCTCACAAGAGAAAACAATCCTGGTCAGGCCTCAAACCCAAGAGAATCCAAATGCTAAACGTTAGGCTCTAAAGTCAGAATCAGATGCTTGGCGTTCAAATCTAACCTCAAAAGGACATGAAGGTTTCTTCCCTTTATGTTTTCTGGATTTTTAACTAAATTTCCTTTCCAATTAGTTTCACACACACAGACACACACACACACACACACACACACACACTCACAAATAAAATCCGACAGAGCAGTATGATTAATATGCACTGGTATCCTCTGTGCTTTTCAGCAGATGGCGCCGGTAGAAGGAGCGCCCTGTCTCGGCAATGCCCACAGAGTGTGTTTCAGGGAACATTCTGGCCCCACCCTCCCTTACACACTTATCACTCCAGGTGGCGAGAGAGGACTCTGGTTGGAAGCCACCGCCCCTGCCCAGGAGGCCTCCTCAGATGCTGTGTAGCCCACAGCCCCCCAGAGAGGTGCGAGAAGCCGGGAGGGTGCTGGCGGTTACCTAGCAGCTCTGCGGGCTGAAACCATCCCAGACACACGAGTGCCTGGCCTATTTTTAAAACTCTCCAGAGAAGTAGGTTCCACAACCCCCTCTGACAACTTCTGTTTAAACTAACTCCTCCATTGCTTACTTAATCCAAATAAGCACATTTTCCTTTCATCCTACCCACGCTGCACGAAGTCAGTCGTTAACCACCGCACAATCTCGTTAGGATGCTCTTCCCCGAAGGAGTGAACGGAGGAAACCAAAAAACACCGGCTGAGGATGTGCTGCAACCAAGATCTCGCGGCCGAGTTTGGACACTTCTTTTGTAGGATCATTGCAATTGCAATGACTGGAATCAGCCCTTCCCCCACACAGCTACATTATGTGAATCATCACGAATTCCAAAACAATGAGCAAGGATTCAGGAAAGGTCCACTTCTTTGCATCTTTCAGAGGAGGTCCTATTTCTGTAGTCTTTAATAACCTTCAGAACTCTTCTCTCAATTCTTCCTTAAATTTCTACTTTCTGGCCCAGCTTCTAAATGGGGAGCCCAGAGTGCTACACAGAGCTGTAGAAAGACTAACATGGAATTGTGATGAAATGGATGATTTCACAGGTATAGCTGCTATGCTTCTCTTATCCATTTCGATCCTGGCACTATTCCTGTGTGTTAATGTAATCTTTCTTTTTAACCACACAACATCACGACTTAAGACGGTTAGAAATCTATTTTAAGAATTTTTCCTACATTGTAATTTCAAGGCTTACCTTTCATGTGCTTTAGGTTACGATCCTTTCCTACATGTCCTACGCTGCGCTTTTCCATGGAGAACTAGACAATGAATATGAAAAAGGCGTCATGAGTCACCAAGATTTATGCCATCGCAGGCTGCGATATTATTATCAGCGTCATCGTTTTTTTGACTCTGCCTAATTCTCAAAATAAAATGGAATCCATTCGTGGTGTAATCTTTAAAATATAATTATGCTTTTCTTTTCATTTTCATCACTAGATTCTTTGTACAAATCTTTCCCTTTGTGTAGATTTTTTTTTTCCTCTCACATATTCAAGAAACATTAAGTTCATTAAGTGTCAGGTATGTTCTGTATTAGGTGTTGCAAGAATAAAAAATGAGTCCAGCTCCCTGCCTGAGTTCATTCAGGTGCTCACTATAGGATTCTAGCAAGGCTCCTCCGGAAATGGTAGCCAAGCTTCTTGACTAGCCCACCTCCACGATCTTCCGCTTCCTTACCTCACCCTTACTGTCCCCCTGGAAGCCAGCTGAATTATGTCCTTGACTCTCTATGGAACCTGATTCCACAAGGTCATCTGTGGCTTCTAATGATCTCAAGCTACAAAGGAAAAATTGCGTCAGCATTTTTATCTTCCTTGCTTTTCGTGGCAACATTGGACATGGCTGACCACTCTGTTCAAGGGATGTCCAGATAAAAAAATACTCTGGGTGAGGGCGGATGGCAGGAACTGATATCTCGGCCCTCAGACCCCTCTCCCTTGGTGTCTGCCTGGTGCCTTCTCCCTTCATAGTCTCTAGTTTGCTTTCTGAGGTGAAGGCCAAGTGTGACTCAGGTAACTACCAGCAAATGTGAAACTGAGGCAGTCTAGGATATACCTGAATGACTCCACCTCTTTTCATTCATAAAAAAAAGTTAGAGTCATGTATGTGTATTGTTTTTATTTTTCTGTCTTCTTAGTTTAAAAAATGTCATGCAAAGTTGTTGTTGTTGTTGTTGTTGTTTAAATTAAGATTAGCTCAATGTCTAATATCCCTTTGATTTTCCAGGTCTCAGTATATTTATCCACTCAGCTCTCTTCACAGGCCAGTGGACCTGTAGGGAAAAACATGCAAGGGAACTGGGGCAGGTTTAATAAGATTCACACCACGCCTATACATTAGGATCTATATTCACACGTTGTTGAAACCAAGCAGGTTACATGCCAACTGCAAATTGGAAGCCTCCTGGTTTGAGCTTCTCTGGAATGCACTTCTGTGGTGTGTTGAATGTTCAATTAGGAGCTGATGAATCTGGAACAGAGAACTGTTCGAAATGAAAATGAGGAAAACAGTGCTGCAACTCAGTGGAAATGTATCCGAAAGAAGGGAAACACCGATAGAATGTGATGCTTGTGAGGACTACAAATTGTCGTACAAAAAAACAAAAACAAAAAAAATGAGTCTGTTTCTTCCTCCCTTTGTAAGTCAAACACCATAAAGCCTGTAGGGAGGAGATGCATTGTGCTCCTGCAAAAGCCATGTCCAGTCCTCAGAAGGAGCAACTTCACAAAATGCCCCACAGTAGTTTTATTTAGAAACAGTATTTGCACATTTTTAGTTATTAGTTCTAATTGGAGTCAGAAAGGAGAGCATCACTATGAATTTATTCACCGTTCAAAGGAAATTCATACTGAAGAGTTAGCCGCCTAGTGGGTAAATTTATTCTTTCAAAATGACTAGTACAATAACAACACATTTTTAATGACTTTGAAATGCTTAATGCCTTTAAAATGTCACATAAAGTACCAATTAGAGTTTTATACAAATCCCTCTAAACTTTTATGCTGTCATGTTGGCCCCGTTCTTTCTTTCTGCCCTGGAGAAGGGAAAGTACTGTGTGGACAGGGAGAGAATTGAGCAGCTCAGGACATCAAGATGATTTAGAAAATGACATTGAATGTACCTGAGAATTACCGACCCTTTTACAGTGGACAAAATTCTGAAGCTAAAAGTCTTGCCACAGAAAAATTCATTTGAAACCATCTAGAGAAGAAAAATAATCATACAGAGCAGTTAAAAAAATTCTCATTAAAAAAATTATGAAAAACCAGTTTCTGCTTCAGCTATTTAAACTTGTGGAAATGGTGGGCAGGAAGCTGAGGCAATGGTAATAAACACAAGTTGTGATATGTGGTCACTGAACACAAGTTCCTGCTGCCTCAATGCTACATCTTATAAATGATGCCGTCAAGTTCCTGCTTTAAAAAATAATTAAACCCTGGCCAGTTTGGCTCAGCAGTTAGAGCGTCGGCCTGCGGTCCGGAGAGACCCGGGTTCGGTTCCCGCTAAGGGCACGTACTTCGGTTGCAGTTTGTCCCCGGCCCTGGTTGGTCGTGCGGGTGGCAACCACTCGATGTGTCCCTTCACATTGATGTTTCTCTCTCTCTCTCCCTTCCTCTCTCTCCCTCCCACTCTATCTGTACAAAAAATGGAAAAATATCCTTGGGTGAGGATAAAATAAATAAATAAATAATAATTAACTTTACAAATATTTCAATGGGATCAATCAAAAGTTCTAATCATATAGCATATGATTTTAAAAGGCAGATATTAAGGGTACATCTTTCTCTTCCAATTCTATGTTCCAAACTGGTAGGAGGCCTCCCATCTACAATTTCGCTTGTAAATAATTTATATTTTATATTTACATACAGCAAGTGTGGAAATATTTTAAAATCAGTTGTATTTGTTCTATATTATATTACATCACCTCAGGAGCTTGGTAAGGATGCATATTGAGA